TGATCATAGCTTTCCCTTCATTACTCATTTGAAAAACCATGTTGTCAGTACCTTCTACTTGCAACGAACTATTATCAGTATGTTTTACCTTGCTCTTCTTCGAGTCGTCGAAATATGCCTACCATACCTTTTGACTAGTCATGTAATTTGAGTAGCCTGAGTCGAGGAACCATATCTTGGATTTGACATGGTTATCTACAACTGCAGTCATAACCACCATATCTTCAGAATCATTTGAATCTTGGGTGCATGGTTCGCTCCTTCGTCCTTGCCTGTCGAATCCTTGTCTTTCCTATACCAACAATTCTTGACAAAGTGACCCCACTTTTCACATTCATAGCAATGCACACCTTTTTATGTTCTTTATCCTTTTTATAGTTTCCTCCTCCTCTTTTCAAGTATTCAGAAGCTCTAGCATCGACCTTATTCTTATGAGGATTCGACCGAGACTTCTTACCCTGAGTCTTGTCGAACTTTCCTTTGAATTTGTTGGAACTACCATTCTTTTTCCGTGACTGATCCTGCAAAGCTTGTATTGAATCTTGAACTCCTTTCCTTTCGACAATCCTAATCTCATGCGCTTCCAACGAACCAACCAAATCTTCCAATTTTAGGGTTTCAAGTTGATTGAATTCTTGAATAGCTACGACAACATGATCAAAGTGAGAGGTCAACGTAAAGATTACCTTCTCAACTATCATCTTATCAGTTAGCATTTCACCATAACCCTTCATGATATTGACGAGTTTCTGTAACTTCGACACGTACTCTGTAATCTTTTTGTCTTTTCCCATTGACAGCAATTCATATTGTCGATGCAAGGTCTGCAACTTGACAACCTTCTCTTTCTCACCCCCTTCTAGTACTTGACAAGAATATCCCATTCCTCCTTCACTGATTCAACATGAGAGATCCTATCAAAGTTCTCTGCATCGACCACCATCTGAATGCAATATGCAACCTTGCAATCCTTCTTCTTGGCTTTGTTGTGGGTGTTTTCTGTGTGTCGTTTGCATCTGCTGCCAATGCAGAAACACCATTAGTAACCACTTCTAGGGTTTCATGAAAGTCAAACAGAGATTGCATCTCTTTTCTCCATCAAATCCAATTTTTGCCGTCAAGAGTTGGAAGAGAAATCAAAATGCTATTGTTACCATTCATCTTCATAGAGATTTCTAGTGAAAACCCACAATCTCCGAAATACGATCTCTGACGTGTGATTCTTAAAAACACGATCAAGAATCTAACTGGAACTCTAGATACCAATTTGTTCGTGTGACAATTTTAATGAGGAGAGAAATAGATAATAAAGTAAAATAAGGATTGTATTATTTACTTGAAGTGTTACAAATAATTATACAGATTAGTATATTTATATATAATTAATTAGACAAACAAATCCTAATTAAATTTAGGCTTTAATTAGACAATTTAGATTATAGGGTTAAATGCCTTCTACCCCCTTCAATATTTGCGAGATTTGATTTACCCCCCTTTTAAAAAAAATTATTTTCATCCCTTAACAAACATAGATTCCATAACCAAAAACCTTTTAGCCCAAGATTCCATTTTAAATGCAGATGTGGCCAGGATCTGTTTGTTGACTGGGTCATGTATGCCACCATAGACGGGTTATATCTAAGGTGATTACTTATAACATACTTGCTATCTTGATATCCCCCCCCCCTTGAAAATCTAGGGTTTACTTTCAAACAAACTTAGGAATCTAATAATGGGGAAGAAACGTGCAATGAAGAAGAAGAAGCACCCGAAACAATTGAAGCATTCAAGGCAACCGAAGAAGCATGACGAAGAACTAGCTTCTGTTGATGCTGAAAAGGTAAGTTTTTTCAGCGTCTTGTTCGTTTACTCATACATATAGTTAAATGTTAGTTTTTTAATCTTTTCCCAAATGATTTCAGAATAATCAACTGTTCAATGATGTATTACACCATGGAGATGAATTTGTAATGTTGATTAATATGGTTACGATTTACAGAGGGGATGTATGTACTTTAGTTTTGGATCTCCACATGGATCAGTTGACAATGCTTAGCATCCATAGGTTGGTTACCGGTTGGGGTTACAAGCAAGGAACATATAGTATTTAGACTTTAATTCGTGAAATAGATAATAACTATTTCCAGATTAGGAAGGATGACGAATGTTACGGTTTCACTGCATACACTTGTGCGACCCAACTAGATAGGGAAATGTTCGTGGAGCATGATGTTACTGATATTGGAGCCTCAGTAAGTAGTCCAAGGTGTGTCAATGAGAATGTTCAGATGGAAGGATGTGATGATGATGTAGTATAAGGGTTGGGTGATAGTGAGGATGAACGGGCCACTGCTATTTTAGATGATTTTGAAGGGATTGATGTAACTAAACCCATTAATGAGAGCCCTTCAATTGGTGAGTTTATGAATGGGTCTAAACAGAAAAGTTGTGAGAATGAAGAACATGTGAGTGATGAGCTGGATAGCTCTGACCCGGATTTATCTGATAGTGAGAAAGGGAAAGTGCCAAAGTTTGAAAAGTTTAGGAAAGAGCATTTAAATAAGGATTTTAAATTTCAGTGGGGTATGCAATTCAACTCCCTAGATGATTTTAGAGATGCCATCCGTGAGTGGTCAGTATTAAATGGGAGGGAAATTATATTTATGAAAAATGAAAGTGACAGAGTAAGTGTAGTATGCAGGGCCAATTGTGGGTTTTTAATGTTATGCTCCAAAGTGAGCCATAAGCTCACTTATGCTATAAAAACCATAATTGACAAACATACATGTGCTAGGGTTTTAGACAACAAATCTACAAGTTCAAGGTAGGTGGCTAAGGCTGTGTTGAAGTAGATACAAACTTCTGATAATGTCAGGATTTGTGATATAATTTAAGACTTGAGGTAAAATTGTTCTGTGGGAATCATAGTGGCTATGGCACGGAAGGCTAAACTCATAGCCAAGAAGATGCTTGAAGGAGATGCATACAAGCATTATGCTGCAGAATTACATAGAGTGAATCCTGAGAACACTTTGAGTATCACTGTAGAAAGACCAAGTCCATCTATTCAGCCAAAATTTGGTTCCTTTTATTTTTTCTTTGATGGTTGTAAAAAGGGTTTCATTAATGGTTGTAGACCCTTTGTTGGAGTTGATGGTTGTTATCTAAAAACAAAGTGTGGGGGTCAGTTATTAATTGTTGTGGGTAGGGACCCAAATGATTAGTATTTTCCTTTGGCCTTTGGGGGTGGTTGAGACTGAAACCAAAGAAAGATGGAGGTGGTTTCTTGAGTTGCTGATGACAGATGTAGGCCATGATAAGAGATTCGTGTTTATATCTGATCAACAAAAGGTATGTCTTATTGTCATTAAGTTATATGTTATGCATATGTTACTTTGCACTGATATTATGTAATGTTTCAAGGTTTCGTAGTTATGTTTTGAGGAGATGTTTGAAAGGATGTAGCATAAGCTGTGTTTAAGGCATCTTTATGAAATTTTCAAGAAAAGGTTTAGAGGTGGAGCTTTAATTAGAGATCTAATGATAGGGGCTGCAAAGTCTACATACTATCAGGGATGGTTATAAAATATGAATGAGTTGAAGCTGGCACATCCTAATGCTTGGACTTGGTTAATGGGTGTTCATCCAAAGGTTTTGTGTAAGCATGCTTTCAGTTTCTACCCTAAGTGTGATGTTCTTATGAACAATATTTTTGAGTCTTTTAATGCCACCATATTAAGTGTTAGGAATAAACCAATTTTAACAATGTGTGAGTGGATTAGGAAGTATTTAATGCACATATGCTATACTTTTTCCATGAAGCTTAAAAAATGACCTCACAAGGTTATGCCAATTCCTAGAAAAGACTTGATAATGAGGTTATGTTTAGTAGCCAATGGCTTCCTACTTGGGCAATGGATGAAAAACTCCAAGTCACTCATTCATATAACAGACAGAAATTTATAGTTGACATTTCTAAGAGATCGTGTACTTATAATTCCTGGGATTTAGTTGGTATTCCTTGTAGGCGTGATGTTGCTGCTTTAGGTTTTAGGCAACAGAATTCAGAGGATTTTGTTGATCACTGTTATTATAGAGACAAGTATGCAATCTGATATAGTTTTTTTGTGAGTCCAATTAATAGTGAGGAAATGCGGCCAGAAGTTCAGTCAGAGGAGATTTTACCCCCTATGTACAAGAAAGGTTCAGGCAGACCAAGAAAGTTAAGGATAAGGGAGTATGGTGAAGAGGGTGCTAGAAGGAGGAGATTTCCAGGTGTTTCTTACAAATGCACTAAGTGTGACAAATTTGGTCACAATGCTCAAACATGTAAAAGAACAACACAAGATCCTAATGGAGTAAAGAGAAAGGTATGATAAGTGTGTATTTTGAACTGACATATCATGTATTTTGAACTAACAAGTAATGTGTTTTATTTTTGTAGAGGAAGGTCAAAGAGTGGTATTTGACAGAAGAAGGAAGTGCTTCTAAACGTGCAAAAAAGGAATCTAAGTAGTCTTATATATGTATTGCTTATTTTGTCTATTAGATACTTTAATTATGACTCCTAAGTTTTGTTATGGATTGTGTCCTTAAGCTAAGATTTCTACATTTTGTTAAGCTGTTATGCCCTATTGTAATGACTTTGGCATTTTGTTCTACTTATGTCTTAATGCAATGACTCCTTTAGTATTGATTTCAACTGATAAGATTATTTAATGATTTCAACTGGTAATACAATACTGTAAGAAAAATGAAACACTCTTATTGAATCAAAGTTGACATTAAATAAACATCACATTGCATTGATGTAACTTACACTTCAAATTACAAATAGTTGTACAACACTGCAAAGATATTACAAATACACATTACACTTCACTTCTGCAAAAATATTACAAATACACATTACACTTCAAATTACAAATAGTTGTACAACACTGCAAAGATAAACCAAGACATCAAAATTGCCATATTAAGTTGGAATATTTTCCTCTTCAATGCAACTATCTTCAACTTGGATTTTTCCAATTTTCTTTCTGCCGGTACAAACTTCACTATTGCCACATCACAATAATTGCAATAACTTTCAGAATTTAAGATTCACTAATGGAGTGGGCAATTTCATCATCCCAAATAAACAGATCACAGCTATTGTCCATCTACAAACAAAAACAACATTAACCCAATAAAAGGTTTAGGTATTTCACAAAACACATAGATTCGAGCACTTACCCCAGCATTCCTACATTTTCAGAATTTCCTATTACAATTTTTTACAATGTTAACAACCCACATCTTCATCGAACGACAACATCCACATTTAAGAACCTTTGAATGCTCATACGAATTGCAACTTCCAACACTCTTGCTAGCATTCATTTGAACATCTTAAGGTTATCGAGGAACAAATTAGGGGAAGAAGCGACATGGTTCAAGAAGGTAGGGAGAGAAGAAATGAGCAAGACGGTAGGGACAAAACAGATTGAGGAAACGATTATTAGTGGAAAGGGTAGATGGTGAGGAAGACAACTTCAGTTTTCTATAACCCTAGATATAACCAATCCACGATGGCATACATGATTCAGTCAACAAACAAATCCTGGCCACATCTGCATTTAAAATGGAATACTGGGCTAAAAGGTTTTTTGATTATGAAATCTATATTTTTTGAGGGACGAAAATAATTTTTTTTAAGAGGAATAAATCAAATCTTAATACTATTATAGGGATAGAAAGAATTTAACCCTAAATTATGTCTAATATTTTATTTAATATTTCACCAGCCCATTCAAATACGTATTATACTTTAAAACATAGTTCATTTTTTTGGACTTGAAAATTTGTTCTAAACATATCTATCTACCTTTGACATAAGTTAGTATGATGAGGAAAAACAAATACGTTAAAGATATAGTACAATACAATGATTTTAAAAATAGAGGTTCAAGTGAATGAAAATAAGATGACAAAACCTGTAACTAAATCTATTTATTTTTATGTTATTAATCTTATAGAAATTAATTAAAATTATAAATTTGTTATTTTTTAAAAAGATTTCATTCAAATTCTATTTTAAGCCTCAAATTAATTTGGTGAGTCAGTCCCACAACGGAGAGGATAGACGGATCCGCAAAGGAACAAAAACTGCAAGAAAATACAAACGAAATCGGACCTAGAACGATTTACAAATTAAACAAAAAACACAAACAAGTCGAATCCAAAACCTGCACACACTAATTTTACCCACAACTATTACCATAAAACCATGACTCTTTAGCACAATTTCAGTCATGTACATAATAATGTCACTCAACTTCAAATTAAAAAACAATATCTGAGAATACTTTATTAGAGTTTGGTATCATTGAGAAAAAAAATCTTAAAATCCCAAGACAGCAAAAGACAGAAATCCATTTCCAAAATGAAGAATCAAAGAGAGCTCACGTCAAGACCAAACATAAATGTATAAGATAAATGCAATCACTTATGTATAACAAACTTCAGAAATCATAATCAAAAACAAAAAAACCTCTACCCCAATAAAACCATACACAATTATTCTTTATATATATTATTACCACTATAAAACTAACAAACACTCTCCTTAACTTCTACAAAGAAAAAAAAAAGAAAAAAGTGAAACATTCTTAAGCATAAGTTTCTTTTCTCCTTATAAAAACAAACAACGAATCAAGATTAGGCGGTTGAAAATACCCCTCCTTCGGCGGCGGCCGTCTGATTCCTGTAACCGGCTTCTTCCTCGGCGGCGGAGGTGGGAAAATGAAAACCGGAATCTGATTCTGTAACAACCTCGGCGTCCTACACTCATCTTCCATGGCAGCTTTATATTCAGAAAGCCTTTGGGTTCTTCTTCTCCCCAAAATCCAACCAGAGAATCAAATCAACTCGGCTTCACAAGAAAAGTGTGAACATTGAATGAAAGTGTTTTTTTCATTAGAAGGGTATATATATATAATAAGAAAATAAATGATAATATTATTTATTTAATATTTGAAAATTTTGAATAATTGGTGGGAAAAAATTGGGTGAGGAGAGCGTAACGGGGAAGGGGTTTCGAAATGTGTTATGATTAGATGACAGCTAAGCAGTTAAAAATATTTTGCCACGTGGCTTTTATTGAATGGATGACGTGGCATTGTGTAGGACACGTTTCACCACTTTTTTTCCGTTTGATTCAAATTGGGCGGCGCGATGGAAAAGTCGGTGATTGCGCGGGAAAGTGTAAAATTGGGTTTGGATTTGGGAAGATGGATGTGCGGTGAGTGACTGATGTGGGGCCTGCTGGGAATGGACGGTGGATGATGGGGTTGTTATTTTTGGAGTTTGGCAAGGGGTGTGAGATTAGTGGTGCTGGAATTTTGTCTGGGGTCCTTAGGTATGGGCTTTTTTTTGTCGTTTAGTAGTGAAGTAATACACGAATATAGAGTCACATTTTTACCTGAGGTAGTGAAGTTATAGGTTAGAGTTTTGTGTCTTAGACTCTTAGTTATGGGTAGTGTAGTACATATTTTGTAAGCTCTGATATTCTTTTTTTTAGTCTTTATTAAAAGAAAATTTATTTTTTAATTCATTTAATGATTAATATGTTTGATTTATATTTGAATTAGATATATTAATTATTGAATGAATTTAAAGTAAAAAAAAGTTTATGATAGAGACTAGAGATAATATTTATTTAATGAAAATTTAAAACCTAAATCTCCTATTTAATATAAATTCCATTTAAGTCTGAGTTTAATTTTTTTTACGCCTAATATATTATATACTGATTTGTTTAAAAATATTTTTAATATAATGATAAGCTTAAATAACTTAGTAATAAATTAATAAGATGAATTAGTGAAAAAGTTAATAATTTTATTAGAAAGTATTAAACAAAAAAATATATATATCAAGGCTTATAATAAAAAGTTTTTGTTTTGGTCATCCGCAATTCAAAAAAGAGACTTAATAATGAAGTCGCAAAACATCAAATATAGAATAGGTAGACTCCTTCTTTCCACTAAGCATGAAATCCTTCACACGAATGTTATACGTTAACCACTCAGATCAATTTAACGATTGGTTGTACCACGCGGTTTCATACGCATTTGGTTGCTAATCATGTCTCCTATTTAAAAAAGGAAAGTGTGTCACTTCACATTATATTCAAATTATTTCTCATAAAAATGCCATCAAGGAACGAAGGATCGGGTCCTAACAACTTATTAATTTTTTTCCATCACCATAAGATCATGTTCAACCTAGGGAAAATAAAGGAGCATTTAAACCTCTTGTAGTCCTCAAACCTTCAGCAAAGTTTCACAAAGAAAAACCTTTGTTCAAACCTGAATCACTACCTACAATGCATGCACAAGAAATGTTGCATGGCCCTCAACTGTTGCAGGTTAGTCTTGGAGTGTATGGAGTCAATGACCTACTGAAGAGTATTTACCACATGGTTCAACATCAAAAATCTCAAGACATAGCAGAAAGATTATTTTAAATTGAAGAGAGCTTACTTTATGCCAATATGAAGAACATAATTGCAAACCAAGAAGCTTCACAAAGGACTCAAGTTGTCCTTCCTGAATCGAGAAAATATCCAAAAGAGATCCAGAAGTCGTTGAGCCACCAACGACATCATAGGCACAAGACCCCTTTGTAACACCCTTCTAAAATCTCAAGGCTAAATAAAAAATAAATTAATAAATAAGTCAACATAAAGCACCAACAAGGGTGTCATGCCGTTATAAAAACAACTTATACAAACATCATGCTCCGTAACACGGGTTTTCAAAAATTATAACAATTATTTCTTCAATAATATCAACATATAAATTTATACTTTGCAGCGGAATTTTAGTCTCAATCATAACTTCATTTATTTCATCAAAACATCATGACCTTTTGGTCTTATCCAAGATTAACATCAAAATAAATTCAACAAAATAATAAAACTCATGGGATACGTTTTTAAACAAACAACAAACTTCAAAACTCAAGCATTTCCAAACCTCGATGTTACATATCAAAGCAATACCCTTTTTGTTCAATGGAAAACACACTAAATAACTCCAAAGTTATCCTCACGCTTCTACGAGATAATTACGATCACTTGCGTGTTACTCACGTGGAGGCAACATTCAAACAGAAAGGATGAGTAATCATAAATCATTACAAAAGATATATGGAATAGATATAGTAGTTGCAACAACAATCCTCAAGAAATCCATATATCGACATACATCACATATTATACTCACATTTTCACATCATCAATTCATTCATAACATCATTATATCCTCAATTTAACAATCATCCTCAAAGCATCACTTAAGTCAAGACATCATCAAGACATCATTTAATCAATAATCATATAACAATACAGAGTATGCAATGCGACAATATTGACTCATGCATGTGGTACGAAACTTCACTGATGAACAATGGGTCATCGCCCTCCAAAGATCCCCACCATAGGATCGATTCCCTCTTGGAACCAGAGCACAGCATAATAACACACTCAATCTGTAACACCCCAATTCTACCGGACAGTTATAAATGTAAATCAGAGTTATAAAAATTATGCAACTGAATCAGGATGCCACAAATTCAACTTAAAAACCATTGCGTTCAACATGGATACATAAAACTTTAAAACTTTGGATGAACCAACAGCAAAATAAATTAATCTTTTAAATCAACAACTTGAACAACTACACAGCGGAATCATAATAACATCTTTATCCAACATGGAAGCAACTTATGAATACCAAGTACTTAACAACAATAAACTTAAAGTTCAACAATTGAAATAACAAATACTTAAGCAACTAGCGTTCATCCCCCCCTCCCCCCCCCCCCCCCCGAGTGTTACGTATCAGAGCAATGATACTGACTCGAACTACTGAAGGTCAACCGCCTTCACTCTGGATTACCTGCACGTTACCAACATAAGAGTAACATTCAAACAGAAGGGGTGAGATATCGAACACTATAATAGAACGTATGATAAATATTATATTAGAATCAATTCATACAATAATTACCACTTCGCAACTTATAAACAACAACCATCACAACAGGTTATCAACAAAACACAATAACTAATTCATCATCACAACAACTCAATCATACAACTTGGAATGTGAATTAATACTATGTGAATGCATGTGGTAGCATTGGAGAAGAAATCTCATCTTAAAAACTTGCCAATTAATAGAGTCATCAACAAGGCATAAGCCTCCTTCGTAGTTTTCCAATCTAGGTCATCATAGAGTATGCAAATGTATATGAATGCACTATCACATACTCACAACAATCATCATTCATCGCAAAGGCCTAAGCCCACATCACCATTATTACCAATAAATAGAGGTAGTTCATCATCATCTAAAATTTCCTGCAACTTCACATTATCAACATGATTCCACAACAGCCACCATAACATCACAACAACTCAACATAAATCAACATTAATCAATGATTCAGTCAGTAACATCATCAAACAACAACTTAACAATAATTTCACACATCACTGGTAACGATCAAAACACAGCATGTATGGGAAAAATGGATAAGGAACTATATGCCCTTCGACATGCACAACAACTAGGACAACATGGCAACTAAATCACACTCCTCGACACACACAGGGAAAACAGGGTAACGACCAATTTATGCTCCTCGATATGTCCTGCAACCTAATACTGCTCGACAATGCAGCACATACCCTCCCCAACAAGCCTCGCAGCCTAATATGCCGCTCGGTACTTAACACCATCAGCATCCTCCTCAACCACTAGTTTGGCCAACATCACATACACAACAGAACATCTTAACAACCACACCACTATAATTCCTAACATTCAGCCAACCACTCAGAATAACGCAGCAACGGGAAACTATATTACTATCGACGGATTCATCAACATACAAGACAGTCACATTGAACCTCCCTAAAACGACCACTTCAACAATTATCAACTTTTCCTGCCAATCACTCGGAATAACCTAGCGTCCTAATAACCAGAAATAAATTATCCTAACCTATCCATCGATTAACCGGGAAGTCACACAGATACACCATACATCTACAACACACAATCGGGAAACTCCCTGTAACATCTCCATTAACCACTCATATAGTATTCTTCCCAACGACCATAACATGAATAAAACGGGAAACTTCGATAGCAATTCTGAAACATTAGCGCACATCAAGTTTACAAACGGCTAATTCTCATATAATACGCATCATAAGCCCCATTATAAAGTCAGAACCCCACCCTTACCTGGATTTAAGGTCGCTCAACCAAAGCTTCGCCTGTAATCCTTGATTTGCTCTTGCTCGACACCGGGAAGCTTACTCCTCATCTGCGTAGCTCTACCGGTCAGCGTGCAGAATCCTTATTCTCTTAATTTCAACAATGTAGTTATTATTAATCAACCAATTAATTAATTAATAATAATTCAACAACTTATACCAATAATTCTCAACATCTTGTAACTTCACAAATAATTCAAAAATAATAATTTAATTAAATAATTAATTAAATTACGGGCGTTACAACTCTCCCCACTTAGAATATTTTCGTCCTCTAAAATTTACCTTAATCAAACAACTCAGGATAGGAGTCCCGCATCTTGCTTTCTAACTCCCAAGTCATACTTTCTCCAGCAGCTCCTAACCAGACTACTTTCACCAAAGCAATATCTTTGCCTCTCAGAATCTTCATTTCACGATCCGCGATTCGTACAGGCATCGTTTCCACAGTAAGGCTATGTCGTACTTG